CAACAGTAAAGGAGGGTTAGGATTAATGGACTAACTTATTATGACGAATTACAGAAGCATGAATGGCTAGCCGAGTTGGCATGAGCCTCGAAATGTATGGTTAGCACGAAGTGCTCATCCTTTGTCCTATATTTTGTCGAACCTTTTTTTTTTTTTTCCTTCTGAAATAGATAAAAATAAATTAATCTACGTGATTTCGACCAACACATGTAGTATCTATAGTTTAAGAATGAAATCCCTTTTATAAATAATCTGAGTTCACCACGTTTGCAATGTCATGGTTATAGAACAAAACAAGAGCAAACAACAAATTTAATTATAATATGATCCATATATATAACAAAAATTGCTATACATATATGTTTCGTATGGAATGAGGCAAATAATTCAAAACCAACGGGAAAAAAAAACCATAAGCAAATTTCATTTCCGTTTCCTTCGCTTCAAATCATTAAATTCACAAGGAAAAAAATACACATGAAAAATAAATCAGATAATAGAAATAAAACATTTTCTCGATATTAGTAATGCTTGCCGACCATTTAATCACACGTTGCTTAGTTTGATTAAAAAAAATGTGTAATTTTTATTTCTTTGGTTCTAGATTTAGAACGGAGAATCGAATGGAATCGAAATGAACGCATTGATGATCGAATTTAATACTCATTATCCAATTTATTAACTTAAGAAGAACTTAACCAAAATTTTGCCCCCTAATAGATTGGGTATTTTATATAAATAGATTGACATGCATTTCATGACTTTCGTTGAGAAAATAAAATTAATATAAGAAAAGATGAGTTATCTTTTTTTTTTTTTTTTTGTCGAGCTAGAATAACAAATAAAGAAATTAAACAATTCAGCTATTCAACTCTTATCAAGTCAATAATTTGGCAAAAGTAAATAACAAAGATAAGTATAATGAGCAACATAGAACAAAATATAAAGTTGGATATTGTTCAAAAGAAAGTAATTGACACTAGAACGATCTCCAAAAGCTTTTTTGCTTGAAGAAATATGTTGACCCATTTCCATATTTCATTAGCACAACCATTAGATTCTTTGTCATTTAGATTCAACTGTACCTTCACGCTTCTTTTCCTCATTCGTTACGATAGTAGCATCCCACTAAAGCTCTCTTTTATCTCCTCCGCCTCTACGTCTTTCGTCACCATATTCTCTATTTCTTCGTACAAAAAATAATTAGATTCATATTCCACCACCGCATCTACAAAAGTAATTTGATTCATTACATTTTTATCCCAACTATCTTCATTGTCAGTGGCGGACTCAGCACCAAAGTTCAGCACAGGCAGACCAACAGTTGATCCAACAAGAAACCTTCTAATGTTCTCCATCCTTCTTTATAGTAACTCTTCCTGCCATTGCTGGTGCTTTATCCTGCAAAGTTTTCTGAGGAGTGGGTTGAGAAAACTGAAGGAAAAATTGATTACCAAATTCAGTATAGAGCCAAATCCTATAATATTAGGATGCAACAACCACAAAATCACACTGAGACTCCAATCCAATAATCAAGAAAAAAAAAACCTAGTTAACGTTTAACAGATTACAAAACTATATCCATTTTAATCCCAGAAGCCGCCTCTTGTTCATTCCTCCCGTCTTACTTGACTGGAAAAGTAGCTCTCTACCCTGCTCATGCGTTAATACAGAAACATTACACCCCGTAAGTTTAATACTTAAAAAATGATGTTAAATGGCTTCAGAACCCAATGGCTAGATATCAATTTCAACCTTACATTTTTCCTAAATATATTCTTATAAAGCATAGCAAATCAAGAAGCAGATTACACGATTGCTAATCAAATAACAGATTCTTATAGATATATACAGAATTAAAAGGTCATGAGTAGAGCACACATTGTAGAAATCCCAATTCGCTGAAATCTGCATAAAATTCCACTAGCGATTAGCGAACTTGGGAATTTAGGTAGCAATAACATTCCCGATTCACTAATTTATCACCAAATTTCCTATAGCAACAAAAAATTTCTGGATCAACCAAAAAAAAAAAATAAAAAATTGGACCAAATCTTTAGTCACTAACTTCATATAAGTCGTTAATCAAAACAATGTGGGAAAGCTAAATCCATGAATTATAACTAAAGCAAAAAATTATAGAATCATGAAGTTTCTACTAACTATACGTAATCAAATTAATTCGACTAAATTGCACAAATAATTCTTTTACGACTTACAGATGGATGAACACAGAGAAATGCGTGAAAGTAGGGGCAGACCCAAAACATTTGTCTTGTGGGGTCAAAAATGAAAATTCAAAAATATTTAGAACTACATATCATTAACGAAAAGAAGTCAATACGCTATTATAATTGTAGCCTACGCGTTTTCNAAATTCTTGATTACAAACCAGTGAAACCACATTTGAATCAGTATCACCAAACCTACCCTAAGTTTACTATTCCTGATAACACCACATAAATCCATTAATCAAGAAAAACAAGGCAAAATCAATTCCCAAATCAACTAAACCCTAAACCATATAATCTGCCCGATTGAATAACACTGTACCTCACGGCTTTACTCAAATCCACCAAGTAAACTAGTAAAGCCCAAACGAATTCAAGTATAATCAATAATGTCTATGCAATTTATAGATCAAACTATCAATTATCAATGAATATAAACATAGCAAATGGCAGGCGATTGGCGGAGGGGGCGACTTACAGCTTTAAAGACGAGGCAATTCGCGAGCGAATGACGAACCTTGAAGCGGAGTCCCAGGCATGCAACCACCGAGCTGCAACCGACCGGAGACTGGCTGCCGGCTGGAGAGGCAGAGTTCGAGCTTGAACTCGAGAAAATGGTGATTTCGAGCTTCAAATCGGGAGATGGCAGGGAGAGTGAAGTCGTGGTAAGGTAATGGTTCAGGATTTGGGCAAGAAATAAGGGGATGCAGTGTTGGGTCTGGGCTAGTGTTTTGGTTTGACGTTTGGGCCGGAAAGTTCGGCCAGTTACAATAATTAAAAAAACAAAACTTGAAAGCAAAAAAAAAATTGTGGAGTCATTTGACCCCACATGACCCCATGTGGGTCCACCCCTGCGTGAAAGGAATACCTTTTGTGGACAGAAGAAGCGTAATGAATCATCCAACATCGTTGGCAGCAGAGCAGGGAGATCTGAGAAGGAGAAGCGGAGAACCGACTGAAGCGTCGATGTCTGAAGGAGTGAAGGGTTTGGAGACGTTTCACGTTTGGTAATTGCTAATAGTAAGCTACCGGGTAATGGGTATTATCCATCCCATGGACCATGGATTGGCCAATTATTGGGCCTAATATTTTAAAAAAAAGGCCCAACTCTCTTCAGCCCAAAGCAAAAGGGCCAAAACAAAAAAAAGAAAAAGGAGCCCAAATTCAAAAATGTCATCTTCTTCTTCCATTTTTCTTCCGGCTCTGCAACTGACACAGATTACCCAGCGGTATTGATTCTATTGAAGACTCTGGCGGATCCAACACGAGCGGCCGCACCCCCTTGCTGGGTGTTGGGTTCGCCGCTGTTAATTGTTGCTGCAAACAGCTAATTCTATAACTGCCACTCCAGGATTATCTAAAGTAACAATCAAACTACTTTCACCCACAATTTCTTTATTACCAAATGAATTCACATCATTCAAATTAATGTTCTTTTTAGAACTATGTTGCTTCGGCATCACTTGGCTCCTAGAGGAAGAAATGGGGAGACAGGGTCTGGGGGAATTGGAAAACCAAATGACAAATAAGGTTGCCAACGGCAACATCTATTCCTTTGTGGAATAACTCCAAAACACCAAAATCTTAAAAATCTAAAAAGAAAAATGCAACCAATAATCGGTGCAATAAGACTGTAAGTAATCGTTTCACTCTTGTCTATATTTGGAATGCAATAATATCGAATCACTACAGGGATTATATATGCTGACAAGAAATCTTGCACACAACACGTACTAGTGAGACAATACATTACTATATTCTTAAACTTCTTCAGACAATAGATTACTATATCCTTAAACTTCTTGAGAACTACTATCACCATGCTAATTACTTTCTCCATGTTTGGATTTGAGGTATTGTTTTGAAGAATTCCCTTACGAGGAAAAGGAGCGCACACTATATATAACATTAACATGACCAGAGTGGATAAGCATTAATCATACCTAAGTGATAAAGAGGAATTAAGGGATATCTACTACTCAATTTTATAGATAACAACTACATAAGTGATAAACTAGCCATGGAATCTGACGTAGCGGAAGATTATAGGAAAGATGAAAAATCTCACAAATATGAGATAAATTCACCAAAGTTCTTATTCAATTCAATAATGCCTGCCTCGAAGGGCTTACAATGGTTTAAATAGCACAAACCTAGCAAATTTCGGAAAATAAATAATAAAAATAAAAAAAACGATATTTTTCCATAAATGGAAAAATTCGAGATTCTAACTTAAATGGAAACTCCTAATATTCAGGATCGTCCTCCAACAAACGGAATCAAAATCCGAATTTTATTCAATGAGATATTACCAAAATAAAAATTACCATAAACGGCAAAAACGCGTGATCGAGAGCCTAAACGATGGAATCTGTCCGAAATCCGACGTACGTCATGGCCGAAGGCG